GGGGGGCGGTGTGAGGCCCCTCACGGCAGAGGGGTCACTTGTAGAGGATGTCGTAGTGGCCGGGGCGGTAGAGGAGGCAGACGCGGGGCTGGGAGCCCTCGGGGAACACGTGCGGGTTCGTGGCGCCGCCCTCGCCCCGGTCCATGTATTCCACCAGGATGGAGACGTGCAGCGCCCGTGCCAGCGCGATGATGTGGATGTGGTCGCTCTCCTTGCACATGGGCTCCACTTCCTGCAGTAGGACAGGGGCCGTACGGGTGTATGAGGGGCATGGGGGGGCGGGTGGGCACACGAAGGGGTGCGAGGCTGCGCGACACCTCTCGGGGGCTGCGGGGAGCCGTTCGAGAGGCTGAGGGGCAGCACGAAGGGCCGGGGAACAGTGCAAGGCCACGTGAGAGGCTGGGGGCCAGTGCGAGGCTGGGCGCAGCCTGTGCACGCATGAGGGTGACTGACACCACATGAGACCCTCCCCAGACCCCCCAGTGTGGGGCCCAAGCGGCGCTCATGTGAAAATGTGTGAAGCTGGGAGGGGCCCCGGAAGGCGCTGGGTAGCCCGTGTGAGGCCACGTGACACGCTGTGAACCCTGTGTGAGTCCTGTGTGAGCCCCACGCAACCAATGTGAGCCCCAGGAGCCCACACGAGCCCCTTACGAGGTGTGAGCTCTCTTGAGCCCTGTGTGCCCCAAACCTGCTGGCAGAACACCCATGTGCCCCGTGCCAGCCCTGTGTGCCCCCGTACCCCAAACCTGCTAGGAGAACTCTTGTGGGCCCCCTGTGCCCCCAACCTGCTGGCAGAACTCCTGCGTGACCCATATGCCCCTGCCATGGTGGCAGAACTCACCTGTGCCCCGTGCCAGCCCCGCCTGCACCTAATATGATGACAGAAGTCTTGTGTGCCCCACATGCCCTGTACCTGCTGGAAGAACTCCTGTGTGCCCCCTGTGCCCCATACCTGCTGGCAGAATTGCCATGTGCCCCTGCTGTACTGACAGAACTCTCATGTGCCCCATGCAAGCTCCACCTGCCCTGCACGCCCTGATGTGACGACAGAACTCCTGTGTACCCCACGTGCCCCGTACCTGTCGGCAGAGCTCCCACGTGTCCCCTGTGCCCCTGCTATGGTGACAACTCCTGTGTGCCCCACGCCAGCCCTGTGTGCCCTAAGGGCATGTGTGTGCCCCTGAAGCGATGACGGAAGTCCTGCGTGCCCCATGTGCCCTGTACCTGCTGGCAGAACTCCTTGATGCTGCGGCCACCCTCGAGGAACTGCTCAAAGAAGCGGCGGTGGCGCTGGAGGCAGCCCGAAGTGAGCAGCCGCAGGTAAACCACCAGGTAGTCCGAGGTTGCTGGCTCGTTGAAGGCCGCCAGCAGCTCCGGCAGCGGCACACGGCGCTCCACGCGCTCGATCAGCTCCATCAGCTGTGAACGGAAAGCACAAGCATGTTTGGGGCACACACACACGTGCATCCGGGACACGCACACGTGTGTCATAGGGACACACACCCAGGTCAGGGGTACACATCCATGAGGGGCACACACACATGTGCCCCTGGGGCACAAACACCACACACATGTATCAGATGCATGCACGTGTATTGGGGGCACACACAAGGGCACATGCCAGGTCACAGGGACCCCCACTCCCCCCTGTGCTCCCCGTGTTGTGGAAGTCCTTGATGGCAGACTCAGTGAAGCCCCGTGTCCCTTTGCCCCCCACATTCCTGGTGTCCCCCGAGCCCCCATGCCCACCGTGTTGTGGAAGTCCTCGATGGTGAACTCAGTGAAGCCCTGCGCCACCAGCTCCTCCTTGCTGCGTGCTGACACCTCCTTGAACCTGGGGGGAGATCGGGGGGCCCAGGGGGGCTTAGGGGGGACCCAAAGGGGTTTGGGATGTCCAGGGGGGCGCTCAAGGGGGTCTTGGGGGGACCCAGAGGGGACTAAATCCTTGAGGAGGAACAACCCAGGGGTTGGGGGGGGCAGGGGTCCAAGGGAGCTAAGGGGGTAGGGAGCAAGAGGTTTGAGTGGGAGCATCGGTGCTCCAGGGTCCTCATAAGGGTACAGGGGTGCCCGGGGAGGCTCTGGGAGTGCTGTGGGGATAGTATGGGGGGACTCTGAGGGTTCCCAGGGTGTCCCTGGGGGGACTCCAGGGGGCTCTGGGGGTCCGCACCGCTGCAGCTCCTGCCCATCCTCCAGCAGAGCCTCCAGGTGGGCGAAGCCAAAGGCGCGGTAGAAACAATTCCCGTCTGGACGTGTCTTCCGGATGTAGGAATATTTCTGGAGCAGGTCCTGGGAGGCAGAGGGGGCGTGGGGACACTGTGGGGGCGGGGGAACACCCCCTGGGAGATCTGGGCTGCTTCCAGTCCTGTGCTGGTGTCCCAGAGTAGCTCCCAGTCCCATAGTGGTACTATTCCCAGTACCACACTGGTGTCCCAGTGCCTCCCAGTAGCTCCCAGTCCCATAGTGGTACTATTCCCAGTACCACACTGGTGTCCCAGT